CACTAACAGTAGCAAACCTTTAAGGAAGTAACTCCATCAGTAGGTTATATTTACCAAAAGGCAGGAAACTGATCAGAAACAGATCTCTTAAAACCTCCATAGCAATCTTTATTCCCCCAAAAATCCACAGAAAAAGTTTAAACAGTTAAATAATACACCCAAACAACACTGACAGATTCAGAATAAAAAAAATTTTTCTCGAGTTGCACATTCTTGAGCAGAGCAAGCAGGCTACTAATGTTCCAGCTTAGAAAGCTGGAATTCTCCAAAGCAGCTGCAAGATTTTTTCCATAGCACACCATAACCAAAACTTGCACAATTATTCGAGCAGTCAGAAATCACCTTGAATTTTAATACGAAAACTGACTTTCCTAACAGTCCCACTAGAAGGGGAGCATTTCCTACATCAGGAACATTTGTTTAATAAGTCCTAAGTAAAGTAATTACAAGCAATCTGATAGGGGATTACATATTTTTCCAATACAGAGCTCTAGGCCCTGTTAAATGTATTCCATAAACAGGGATGAAATACTATTTTATTGATTTACCCAAAAGTAAGAGATCTATTGACAAATATTCTTCAGGTTCTCTCAACAAGGAAAACAGCCCCGCCTGAACCTTGAAAGAAGTCTAAAGCTGTGTGTGCGTGCACACACACACAGAAAATTGGAAAAGGTTCTCTGTAAGTGTTATTCTGGAACTCACATAAGATACATCAGTAAGACCGATTGCTTATTTGCATAGACTAACTGGTTTCTGTCAGAGAAAATAAGTTTTAGATGCCAAGAGAACACTCAGACCTTCAGTTAACTCGTTAACTCTGTAAAGAAACTTGTTTGCAAATTCAAAGGAGGACTCATCTGCTTGCAGCACGAAGTGGACAACATCTGTTAGCATTGCCTCAATCAAAATTCCCCTATAAATACATCCTCCTAAGAACTCTCAATTTTTCCACACGCTCAAGAAGAGTTGTAAGCACAGGAAACTTTTGTAATATTTTCTCGGTTACCTGTTACACATTCTACTTGCTGCTACAAAACCTTAGGTAACACAGTAAAGGCTGGAGACAGGTCTTAATTAACAGTGAAGTTGATACCTATACAGAGTAGATGCCCTAACCTATTTTTGGGCTAATTAACTTTGGTTTTCCAACTCAGCCTACAAACGGCTTTCTGTCCACTAAGCCAATTCAGTCAGCCAGCAATCTACGCCAGACCCATGTTCCCAAGTCCCACTCTCTCAGCAGTGAACCAACTGCAGGTGTTACAACGGCCCTCTCTTGGGGACCTATGGCAGTTTGGAGTAAGGTATTCTTAAAAAGAACACTCAAAGCAAAGTCTAGGCTACCCTCCTTCACCGACTCAGCCTGGACTCTGACGTTCACACACAAAAGATGCACAACTGCTCTGACAATGCAGCTCTCCCAACCACTCTCCCTTCTCAAAGTTGATAGGCATTACCTATATGCATACCATGTGAAACAACACTCCTCCTGTTCATGTACAGATCACGTTACACCGCAGAAGTATCTGCGGGAAGCTACTGCATGTCAGTCTCCCTAGAACAATCTAGGTAGGCAGCCTGCCTAGACAGACAGGCCGACCATTCCCAGCCTTACAGGCCACAGACCAATTCTGCCAGTCCTACAGCTTCCCTAAGATGCAGAGGTCAGCACCAGCACTGAGTCACACAGGCTGCCATTGTGCCCATACCGAGGGGAAATGTGGCATAGTGCAATGCAGGAAAAGGAGTCCAAAACTTGCATCCAGGACTGAATGACCAACCAATGTCTTGTGTTGTTGGATAACCTAAATGTACTTCAACAGAAGGCATAAATCTAAAAATACCATCGTGATACCAAAATAATAAACAGCTCTCATATCTTGCTCAAAATATACAGTCAGAAAGCCCAACAAATGCAACATCAAGGAAAAAACCAAAAGTTAGTACCGGAAATCAAATAGAAAACATAGTAATAATAGTAATTGCTATGAAAGTCACTTTTCCGCACACTTACCTATTACTTGATTTATTGTAACAAACGCATCTGTGAGTCTTGAGTACTGCAATAGCATCCTGAATATCCTTGTACTATTTCCTGTTTACTTATTAAGATCAACAATGATGTACAAAACAGTCATCAGGTGATTCCCTCACTCTGCGTGATCTCACAACTTCTAAGCAGCCACACAGAGGAACTGAAACAGGAAGGCATCTGTAACACTGACGTGATAAAGAACAGGCAGTGAAGGCCTTCAAAACAGAGTAACGTTTATCAGGTAACTTAGGTCGTTTATCTAGCTCTCACCTCAAGTTTAGTATCAGAATTTCATTCACTTTGGTGAAGTATTAATTTCCAAAGCCACTGACACTTACTGAAAGTTCAAATAAGCTCTCTTTCTTAATATCTTATCCTCGTGTGCATATGAAAAAGAAACAGACAGCTGCCCTAGGACCGACTCCCTGAACTCACCTGTTGTTATGACTGTTAATCACTCCACATCCAACATTTATGACTTTGCCACAACCAGCTATGACATCAGTGAGGAGCAAGACTGCACAAGGAAAACTAGCCAACAGTTATGAAAGATTACACTTACTTTTCACCCAGTTCTTCACAGAACCTAGGGCGACTTTGCTCATAGTGAGGGTGTATCCTTCTACCGAGCTGTGCTTTTAGATGACCAGGAAGGACAGCAAGATAGTAGACATCAGTTAAAAGCAACCTACTACTCTGTTTTCTTTCATTTTCAAAGAGTCAAGCCATCAACTCTAGAGTTATTTAACAACTTTAACGTTTTCAACTGATATTTTCCATGCTATTCAGCACATGCTCTGACCACTCCATGCAGCAGGTGGCCAAAAACAGACAGTTAAGACTGCAATTATTTTTAAAGATGAAAGCTGATACTAATATTGATGTTCAAAGAAGCCGTCCAATAGCATGAGCTCTATTTTATGAGATTATGCTTCAGAAAATTTTATTTAATAAAGATAAGGCTGCCAAAGAAACACACTTAAGAACCTCCTTGTTTTTGAAGGGGGTCTTTACATTTTGTATCCTTGGAGGCTCTAAAACCCAAACGTACGGTTTTCATGAGCAAAGTAATCCTGCCAGTTTAGCATACTTCCAATGACATCCTAAAAGGCATTATTGATTTAATACAGATGAAGTGCTGAACAAGATTAATAGGAACATTACACCCAAGTATGAGGCATTTAATTTTGTCATGGGATTTAAAATTGCATATGTACTTGATATTTAGTTGCTTGATCCTAGTAAATTAAAATTAAAAACAACCGGCTCTGTCATTTACCCTCTTACTACTGCTAGTTGTTTCCACACTGCCTTTTAAAATAATTGTAGGGCCTTCAAAAATTATAAGTCTTAAACACTGCATAAGAATACAACATTCTTCATATCAAGGACACTGTTCAAGAACCCAGAAGAGACCTTGCAAACACCTCCCATTTCGATCTAAATTGCACACTGCAGAACTGTTCATTACAATAACTTTCACTAATTCATATAAAGCCAGTGACCACTTTTCAAAGGTTTCTCTGTTCCATACCATGAGAAATTTTGGAGCAAGCAAAGAAAGATGTTTGAAGAGCCAAGGCTAATATAAAAGGATAACAGGAATACTATCATATGAGCACTGCCGATTCCTGCCTTTTACATTTCATATTCTTAAAGCTCCAGCTCTTAAGAGTCAAATGACGAGCTAAGAATCAGATGTCCTTAATGAAGACGCTTGCTTTGCTCCAGTGCGAAAATTGGAACTGAAGCAAGATAGCATTAGTATAGCAATACTAATGCAAGCAATCCAAGGGCTGCAGTTGACAGAAACAAACCAAAACAAGCACCACCAAAAAAAATAAATGCCAACTGTAGAAGAATGAAAACCCTCACTACATTCTCATTAAAGTGATTCTACCTGACATTTAAAATTGCCTCATATAACATATCTAAGTCCCAAAGCAAGATAACTCAGTGTTTTACAGTGGCAATAATCTCTCTCATTGCCAAGAGAATCAGATTCTTTGTCATCTGAAAGAATCCAAGGTCAGGTTTTCGATTTTTAGCACTACCTTAGTCTCGCTTTCCCTAAGTTACATTAGCTCCAAGATCAAGCTATGGAAGTTCGCATGGGAACTGTGCGGTTACCACTTAATCACACAATACAGATGTCCAAGGCCCAACTGCATCAGGTGGGATGAAATTATTTGTAGTTAAGCATTTAAGCATATTTTCTTTATCGTCTCAGGAGCTGCATAAGGAAGTGACCCAACATATCCAAAACTTGATCTGTGAAAGTTTAATAACACAGAAATATTTATATATATATATATATATTTTTTTTTTGTAAGAAAGAAAAAAAAAAAGGGAGGGGGAGTTGATTCTCTCTCAAGTTAGACTATGAAATCATGTTCATTCATGCCATTTGTGTGATCTAATGCTTTCTTCAGTTTTCAGCTACCTACTGCACTGGAGTTTCCCCGTCCTGGCCTCTGCCTGAAGATCACTTGCAATCTAGACTCATTCCCTCTAATACCCCAGAATGCCATATACTTAAGAAATGGACTCCCAGTTTGTTTCTTACCTTGCCAACTTTGCTTTTCACCTTACACTGGTCTGCTAGAGACTTTGGAGAATCTCATTAAAGTCCACAGTAACACCATTACTTGCAGCTGTAAGAGAGTATCTACTCTCATTTAACATTTTTGGAGCAATGTCAACATCAAAATAGCTGGCTACAGAAAAACAACATTTAAACTAGGAGTGGACCTAAGTAAGGATTGCTTTTGCTTGTTCCAAGGAAAACCGCATTTCATTTCCAAGCCATTTGTAAATGAAAGACAAACCACACTGCGTGTAGCCATACATTTATCATTATGGATTTTTTTCTAAATGAAGTGTCCAACATGGCTATAGGCCACACAACACGTGGAACATGAATCTCACTGTTTGACTTAAAAGAGGGAAATGAAGTTCATACCCTGAAGGCCCAGAGAGCTCTTGCTTCAGTCATAATCCTCAGAACCTAAGGATGCTGTCACAGTCCAGCCTCAAGGTCCTGCCTCTCCCAAGAAAAATCCTACAAAAAAGACAATGGTTTGGGCAAAGAAGAAGGTGCAACCACACAACACCAACTCGTGATCTAAAATGAACGAGTCTTATCGCTTCCCTAGACAGTGATTCGTTTGCCTTTAATCATCAGAAGATATCATCTCTCAGATTTGCCTTAAGGTTCCAGGTTTCCAAACAATTCTGTTAGGCATATCATGAGAATAGAAACAATATTTCTGAAACTCTCAGAGCATTTAAAAAAAAAAAAAAGGCACAAACTTCCCCATTGTGTGCAGGAAGGGGCTTCTTCCATGAGGTACGTGTTTGGCAGATACCATTAAAACAACATCTGGATCTGTCATTCCAAAATATGCAAGTTTCCTCAATCGTAACGTGTGCTTGAAGAAGCACTGTGAATACACTGTTAGGCACCAAAAGTCAAGAACAGAGAATAAGCAGCAAGTAGAAGCTCTACTGGACTGCCTCAGGCAGCTGCATTAGTAACTTAACATGAGGGGTATCATGCTGAAAGTTACCTTCGTATTTCTTCCTTTCCCCCAACTACTTATGTCTCTCGAGAGACCAGCGTTTTAATAAAGTAGTTTGAGGGGCAGGCTTTGTTCTTAAACACTAGTAACGCATACAACACTAACCAACCAAAGGCTCATTTTTCAAAGGCGAATTCAATTAACACAAATACAAGTTTCACTTCATTAGTGATACAGAAACAGGCTAAGAACCCAGACGATAAAGAGTGTACGTAAGTGTGGCTTTTCAGAAGTGTCTTTTTCCAAACGTGAAGGAAGGTTAATGTTTGCCTGACTTCACATTATCCTCTTTATACAAACACAAATTGCAGTTGGTCTCAAGCGTTCAAGATGAACTTTTATTCAAGAAAAACTACCACTAGAAGTTGTATAATAGCATAGTAAAACCAATACTTGCGTTTATTGCATCTATGACAAACTAATGTCACAACAATAGCTAAAGCAATCATCTAAAATATACATATTTTGTTTCTGTGGATAGATTGTCTTCCAAATAAACTTTAACTTGTTCATGTGTAAATAAGTCAACATCTCTATGGCTTCTAAAATAGTCTAATAATAAATATGCTTAAATTCAGTAACACTAGACATGCTTTTTTGACATAAAGAAAATCATGTGTTCTGAAACAGACTGAGTCCAAGTTTGGAAAAAAGAATTAGCAGACAAAATGGAGAAAGCACAAAGCCAGAGAAATAACTTTTCTCAACGTTACAGTTTAACTTAATGTTACTGTCAAAGCTAGTCAAGAGAGCTCTAAGCTGGTGACCGTTTTGCTCATTCTCCTTTCTGTAGTCTTGATCAATGAGTTGCACCCAAAAAAAAAAAAGCATGCGTGGGGGGGAATAAAAACAGATAGTGGTTGGAAGGCACAAGAACAAACTGTTTCCTACTTCTCCCTTCCAGCAGGACAAGTTCCAACAGCTTTATTAGCTAAAGAAAGCAAAGCATTATGTCAGACTTTTCACTTCAGGAAAAGTTATTCTCTTTGTGAATCCTTGCATTTAAATCCTAGGTGCTTTTAGAAGAAGAAATTGCAGTTTCAGTTTTCAGCCTCAAATGCAAGCTCCAACTGTGTTCAGGATATGGGAGCAATATTTTAAAAGTTATTAACACTGGGGAAAAAAATCCATCTATTTAAACCCACTTCCATGCTGATGCTCGTAGATGATCTATAAAACACAAGAGGAACAAAAGTAGTGCCCTATTGTGTTAGCAGTAAACCGAACTAGAAGCTAAGCGTGCTGGCTGACGAAAGGCTCAGTACAGAGCTAACCACTATGGTCCCCCCCCCCCCTCCCCAAACCAAAGCATTTCATCAGTTAGCCATTCTGTCCCTCCTGGGCTAGTCAAGTTTAAAGTCAGTCTGGTCAGCAAAACCTGCAATACATCTTTCATACTTAGATTCCAGTAAACCTAACTTCACTTGGCCGGCAGGAAATTGCTACAATCCAATTTTGCTGGTCTTTAAAATTTGAAAGATCCACAAAGATTTTATGTTTTCATCTGTAATATTTTCTGCTGTTTTCCCTCTCTCAAAACCTACAGCCTGAAGTAAAATAGTTTCACATAATACTAAGTTTTGAAATGAGTGATAAACTGATTTTAAATGGGGGGAGGGGGAATGGGGAAGGTTGAAAAGCTTAGAGAAAGCTTCTTTACACATCAAACCCCAGAACGTGTGTGTTTGCCCAGACACGTTTTCTGTGCGTTTTTTGAACAATTTCTTATCGAGGACAAGGATTAAAAGCACTCAAAGCTTTTTTTTTTTTTTTAAAAGCCTCTTTAAAAAAAGAAATTTATTTATCCAAATTTGTCTTAAGACCTTCCCCAGAGATGGCCTTATATGAACATATCAGGAGCTAACTCTTCATACAAAATGACCAAGAAAGAGAAGTCTATTTAGGCTGCAGAAATGCCCAAGAGCCTAAAAACAAGCTTTGAGAGCAGAGGTTGTTTTAATTAGGAATGTTCTTTTATGCCAGGCCATGCAGCTCATGGTATTCCTTTATCTAAAGGCATAGGACACAGATGTGAATTTCAGCACGTTTTACAGTAGAGTACATGCCAAGATCATTAAGAAAGAATGTCAGTCTCTACAGCATGCCTCTAGTTGTGCAGTTTCAAGCAAGCTTTAGTCCACCAGCGTGCTATAGGCTGTGAACACTGACCATACATGCTCTCCGGCTACAGAATCCCATAAAGACAGGAGAAAAGAGCAGCTAGACCGCACAGCAAACACTGATTTAAGGAAAAGCGTGCCAGGCAGGCAGTGGAGACACACATCTCTAACAAGACGTCAGAGCTAGTCTTTTCGACAAGTACTAACTTACAGAATAGGTATTACCAGTCCAGTTTAGTGAGCAGACAACCTTTGCTCTACATACAGGCTACAAAACCGGGAAGCTGAACTATGGAAAGTGCCTTGATGATTTCACTGCTCAATAATTTAAAATTATTTGCAAGACAACACACTCAATCCCTAGACTTGTACTTAGAACCCTTCAAACAAGAGGTCAGATTTCGGGGCGTTTTTGTGGTTGTTGGGGTGAGTTTTTTGGTTTTTTGAGTTGGAATAGTGTGCCATTGTTACTGGAACTAGAGAATAAGCAGCAACGTGCAGGTGAAGAATGTAGTTTCAGAGTACGTTTTAACCACTTTGGCAATTAGCTGACGCCAAAAAAAACCCAACAACGCTGCTTTCTTCCTGCAGCTTTTTATTCTCAACACATCACTTGCACAGGATCTAGCAACTACATGACAGTAGCGTGAGCTAGTTCAGTCCACGGACACTAATAAGAGACTAAAATTTGGCACAAGCATGCTAATTTTCAGCTGGGTTGACAAAACAACCCTACGGCCACACAACTTTTGGACCCAGCGGAGAGCAGAGGATGAGGCAAGGGTAAAGGGCAGGACCGCCCCTCCCCGCAGCACGCCAGTTAAATCTGTTTAATCGGGAAGCGTCAAGGGTAAGTAATATATGGTGACTGAACACTCAGTTCTGTGAGGAGACTGCCATTTCAGCACATCTCTCCACCTCTGTCACTCACGCTGTGACAGCAATTCCTCCCCCCCCCTCCTGCCCCGCACACGTACAGCAGCAATTTATAGATCTTAAAACTGGAACCTTCCTTAAAACTGGAAGGATACTAGAAAGCATTCAGCATCTAACAGCATTCAGTTTACCCAATCAACACAGAAGCTATGTCTTTATGGGACATCTGAGAATAGGCTGCAAATTCTAGGTGCAGTTGGATAACTAGAAATTTCAAACAATTAAAAAAAAAAAGTAAAGTAAAAGAACATCACGGAAACTATCATGAAGGAAGCAGTTCTAGTCTGAAATGTAGTAAAAGCTGAAAAAGTCTAACTCTACCTCTAGGCCACCTCCCATTTCTACCAATCTTTGTCCAGTTTAACATAGTTGCAGTAGGAGCTTAATTCCAGAACTGAGGACTGCTTGCTGAGTCTTTTAGTTTTACGTTCTCCGCTTCTTCCAAGGCTCTTAAATAGGTGGGAGAGAAGGAGATAAGCATTAGAAGTACAAGAAGACAAAAAAAAAAAAAAAAAAAGGCACCTGTAGCTAAGAAAAACACATTCTCCTGTGAACCACTGCAACTCTCCCTTCCAGCACAGGGAAAGCTGCTGACCAACTAAGAGACTTAACCAAAAAGAAAACAGGTACTTACAAATACAAGGGGAAAG